AACATGATTTTTAATTGGCTGTGAAATCTATTAGTGTAGATGGTTTAAGTTAGTTTGTTGTAGTGCTACTGTATACATTGACAATCCTATTTGCTGGCTTTTGAACAATAATTAAACAGCAATTTCACAATCTTACTGGATTAGAAAGTGTTCTCTTCCATTATTTTATACCCTATGCTGAGATAGGAACTTTAGCCCACCTCTGTTTTAAGAAGACTGGGTAGAGAATATTAGTCAGTTGAGTTACTGCTGAATTCAAATTAACATGGGGTTTTACTGTGTAAACAAATTCCTTTTTAGAGTAGGGCAAATTGTTCAAATCAGAATCTAAACAAGACCCATACATTACATTTGTTGTTGTATCTCTTAAGTTTCTTTTATTCAACAGCAGCAGCTGTCCTCTTTCTTTCGTTTTTAATCCCCTGTGCCACTGAATCGTCCGAGAAACCAGGTCATTTGTCTTATATGTTAAAGCCCACCAACCAGAGATCCTCGGTGATATACCAGTTGTCAAAGTTAAGTTGATTAACTTGCTGCAGGAAGGGAGAAAGCACACTATGGGGAATTGTGGGTATATTAATGGGAATTAGGGAAAGATATTTATTACAAAGTTTGCAGGGCTAGAGGGAGACACAGGAAGGTCTCGGCAGGGATTAGGCAGAATTTGTATAATAGGGAGTTCCTGAAGCAGTCAGTGGTAATATCTTTAGAACAGTTTTGTCACCTCACTTTGGAACAGATGGATCTGAACATATTAGAAGTAAGAATTTGAACTTAGAAAATCCATGATGTATACCATGGTTTGGACTGGCATAATTTATCTGTTTTGCAGGTTAGTGGAATTAATTTTACAAGTTGTGGTTTTTGTTTCAATTGTCAGTTCTTCCCCCATAGCTGCCATCAGGGCCATTTTTAATTTTATGAGTACTCCCTTCTGGTTACTCAGCCTGAGCTGAAGGATGGGCCATTATCTTCTGGAGATGTAATCAGTCCATATCTGCACTGTTGTTCAGTGGGTCATGATAGCGTATCAGATTTATGATGGTAGTAGTCTTTATATCTAGTACCAGGCTTTCTTGTTCTTTATATTGAATGAGCCCATGTTGAGTCATTTGATATCACAGCTGCTGCACAGCAGTATTTTAAGACTCTGGTGATCACACATTTGGCCATTGTGCATAGATAAACTCTAGGATGAGGGTTATCATATTATCTGTTATTTATCATGATTGTCATGGATTGAATTGTGTCCCCCAAAAATATGTGTCAGCTTGGTTAGGCCATGATTCCCAGTGTTGTGTATTTGTCCTCCATTTTGTGATTGTAATTTTATGTTAAAAAGGATTAGGGTGGGGTTTTAATGCCCTTACTAAGGTCACATCCCTGATCCAATGTAAAGGGAGTTTCCCTGGGGTGTGTCCTGCACCACCTTTTATCTTACAAGAGATAAAATGAAAGGGAAGCGTGCAGAGAGGGGGTGACCTCATACCACCAAGGAAGCAGTGCCAGGAGCAGAGCACAACCTTTGGATCCAGGGTTCCTGTGCAGAGAAGCTCCTAGTCCAGGGGCAGGTTGATGACAAGGACGTTCCTCCAGAGCCAACAGAGAAAACTTTCCCCTGGAGCTGACGCCCTGAATTTGGACTTCTAGATTGTGAGATAATAAATTTCTGTTTGTTGAAGCGATCCACTTTTGGTATTTCTGTTATAGCAGCACTAGATGACTAAGACAATGATCTATAATTAATCTTTTTTATAAGATAACCAGGTGGCTTTTACCATTGATTTGGATATGGATTAGTCAACTTTGCTAGTATCTGAAGAATTAGTCCCGTATATGGGGATTGTCAAGGATAAGGATTTTGGGAGTACCATGACTTAAGGCAGGAGTGTATACTAATCATTTAGAATTGTGCTGTTCAGTATGGTAACCATTAGCCATATGTGGCTAGTTAAATTTTTTTTATTACTATTTTATTATATTTTTGGTGAAAGTTTACACAGCAAATTAGGTTTCCATTTGAAACATTTATTGTCATTATGTCGTATTTACATGTTAGTCTAGGAGGGCTGAACTTCTCGTTCGATGTGGGTTTTTTTCTCTCAAATTTTCATTTTTTGTATTCATTTTAAAGATGATAAAAACATTTTGTAAACATATTCTGGCGTCTGAATGACTCCATCTTAATGCTTGAATATGTGTTTGTGATCATGTTGCAATAGGTAGTATTACATCAATTACCAAGAAAAATGTGGCAGTCTGCTCCTATAAAAATTTACAGCCTTGGAAACTCTGTGGGGCAGTTCTGCTCTGTCTTACAGGGTCTGTATGAGTCAGAATTGACTTGACGGCAATGGGTTTGGTTCTTGGAATGAGAAAACAAGTGTCCCTTTCCATAATACGTGTATGAAGTATTTCTGCCAAGTGAGGAACAAATGAGGTTATAGCATGTGTAAAAAAAAATTGCAGTAGTTTGGATAAAGAATAGTAGTGGAAAATTGAATGCTCACGTAGTATAGGTGTCTTAAACTCAAAAGAACCTCTGCTGTGGCAGTCAGTGCATTCATTATAAATGAGATTTTTTTTTCCCTGTAAATTGTGCCCATAATTTCTCAGTTTTTAAAAACACTAATGTAGATATTCTTTTCTACTTGGCATCTACAAGCTTCTTACCAATAAGTGAGTTAGTGTTAATAAAATTGGAATTTATCTGTCCCTTTGCAATTGATTTATTGCTAAGTTTTTCCTTATAAAGTAACTAGGCTATAGAGTATATGCTGTAAGTTGGCCCATGACTTAAAAAAAATCAAGAACCAGATTTCTCATCCAGAGTTGGGAAGCTGAGAAGACTTGAGGGGAGAGTTGGGAATTTCCTTGGCAATGCTTTCATAAAATAAGTATGCCTCGGCCTACCTTTCACCTCCACATGTATCTTCTAATTTAATAAGTCAGAAGTGGCCCCAACATATGTACAAGTAATTCTCCTATTGTACGTGTTTTCAGAATTCAAATTGGTTTTAACACAGACAGTTACTTAAGGAATTAGTTTTACACTGTGAAATAATGATCTGAAACTGGCATGTAGAAAAAAAGCCAAACCAGCCACTTTGCTTGAGTGTCTTGTTGCTTTGCTTGTTGTTACAGATTTCCCTCTTATAACTAGAATGTAAACTTTATATGGGCAGGGACTTTTGTTAGGCTTGTCCATGGCTATCTACTTCTCTTTCCCCATTGAAACAATTCTTTTTTGTAATTTGACTTTTGGTAACACAGGTTTGTTGAGGTATTTTTTCATTATATCAACACAGACTAAGGTAGGGAGATAGATGTGCCTCTTCTCTCCCCCTTACTACCACAGAGACTGATTTTATGAATTGCTCTTCATAATTTATTCTCAATTGTTTATCTGAGTTGTAGCATCCAACAGGAAAAGTTGCTTTCAGACTGAGTTCAAACACGGAAACTAATTCAAACAAAAATACTATAGTTGTTGACATGATAAGAGTCCTAGACAGACTGGTCTGTTACATGGCTGTTAGGGTTTAGGGTCAGAGCAACTCTTTTAAAAACAAACGAACAAACAAAAAGGTTTTGGGCCAACCTGCCAGCCAAAAACAAGCCTGAATGTAGTACTGTATGGGCCCCTTATATAAAGTTAGACACATTGGCAGCTGCAGATACATAAGCCATGGTGTGCTTTAGATGGCAATTATTTCATAGATTGATAAGTTTATAAAGAATCTTGTGTATATTGCTTTTACTAACCTTGAAACCATGCTAACAATTGTAATAGAAACTTTTCTTGACTTAATGATTTGTGTACATCCCCATCTGCATTAAAATGACAGCAGCTCTACATAGCTTTATAGTGTGTCAGGGCTGTTTGTGTATTCCGTATCTAGTTTGTGAACTAGTGAAAGAAATACTTAACTGGGTGTCATTACGCTAGATTTCTAGTTATAGGTTCACAACTAACTGGTATCATAACTTAAAACTTCGAAATGACTTATCTGATCTTCAGTGTTCTCATTTTTAAAAACAAAGAATTGGACCAGATAACATATAATGCCCTTTCTAGCACTCAGAATAAAAAATTTTTTCTGAATTTTATTCATTTATTTTGGTAATGAATACAAGTCTTTCTCTGTATTCTCTCCATCTTCTCGTTCTTTTACATTTTTCCATTTCATTTATTTTTGTGATTTCGTTACGTTATACTATAAGCCATTTAGATATGTGATTCGAGTAAAATGCTTGAATGGCAGTTCTATGCAAATGTAACTATTGATTCAGAATTTAGCAAAACTTACTAAAACTCACTTTACAGTTGGGTATTGAAAGATATTTTAGCATTTAACTTTGATGACTGGGCTTACTGTGAGCCAAGTACTTAATTCTCTAATGTGAATATATCTGAAGCTTTGTGCTTTTGATAGATAACATTGAGTCATAATCATTTTAGTTTAGCACTTTTTATTTCCATGTAAAGTACATTTGTCTCTGAATAATCATTATTGCAAGAATATTGGCTATTTCACTCTTAGTTTATATAGAAACACTGGATATGTTGCACTCAGTTTATAGATAATTTCTCTTATATAATTCTCAGTTCATTTGTTTTTTTAAAATATGATAGCTATTTCATGATGTAGCTATAGGGCTCCTTCACTGAAACATTTTGAATAAAGGTGTTGGACATCTATGTTTAAATTGATTTTTGTTCTTCTCAGTCCATAGAGTAAAATATTTTATGGTGCTTGATAAGCCCTTGTTACTATTTACTCTCTTGTTCATGGTTTCTTTTTATTAATATGTGTTAGGTATACATTGTTATGTGAAACTGTTTAAGGATTTATTGATTTTTTTTTTATTAAATTATTGCTTATATCTTTGCTTATTGGTTAAGAGATATAAAATAGTCAAATGTCTATTGTGAATGACACATTATTTCACATACATTTTTATCATCATTAACAAAGCTTTCTTGGTATGTTTTGTAGGTGACGATTGCAGACAGAAAAAATAAACTTTCAAGAGATTCAGACCACTGGGTACTTGTTGCTTGGAACAACTTAAGGAGTGTTCGATTTATTGGGTCAGTTGGCAACAGAAAATGAAAAGTAGTGTGGCACAGATAAAAGTAAGTGTTTGAATCTTATAATAGACAAAGTAAACTTAACAGTCAATTACCTAATCTGTAAACAAAAATACATTTATATAATTATACCATTTGAACCATACGATAGAGATTATATACACATTTACTTAACTGACACAATTTCAAATGTAGATACTTGGCCAGATGGAAGTAATAGTGTGCAAGAGGGCAACTGAAAGAGCATGCAGGGTGTGTGTGTGTGCATGCATGCATCAGTGCCTCCTCAAATCAAGAAAGTACATGAGAGGGAGCACATGCAAAAGAAAAGTAAATAACAAATAGTGGCGGCAGTTCTACCATTATTCTCAAAAAGCCTACTCTCCTGAATGATAATGAATTGGAAGACAGGGATCTCCTCCCTCAGTTGGTCTCATTTTCCACGTTTGTGATAGTGGAGCATCTTATTGCATATTTTAGATTCATAGAAGAGCTTTTTATTCTGTGATGTACTTTAGACATTATCCAGTCAACATATATTTATTGACTTCTTACTATGTCCCAGTTGCTGTTATTGGTACTTTGGGTAAAATGGGAACAAAACAGACATCTTAGCTCTCATGGATTTTACGTCCTAGTGGAGAAAGACAAAATAAACTATAAACTTAATATATAAGTAATTCGTATAGTAAATTATAATGTTAAGTGCTGGACTTGTGCTATGGAGATAAAAAATAGAATAGGGTAAGGAGGGTCAGAAGTGTTTGGGGTTGCAGCATTCATTAAGGAGGTGAGTATAGGCCCCACTGAAAAGGTAGCCATTTGGACAAAGACAAAAGGGGTGAAGGAGTTAGCCATGTAGCCATCTGGGGGAAGTGTGTGCCAGGCAGAGGGAACAGCAAGTGCAAAGGCCTAGAGTCAAGTGTGGCTGGAGCAGGTTATAAGAAAGAGAGAATAGTAGAAGATGAGGTCAGAGCAGTAACAGGGACCATGACTCCATCTGATTTCAAAACTATTCTTCTGCCCGTGAGTGAACTTAGCTGGAGAGCAAACCATTCCATTTCCTGTTCTTTTCAACAGCAAGGATATACAAGTCAACCCCATCCCTTTTTTCTCATATGTCATTTCCTGAGTCTTGAAGTCAGTAAAGGGGAAGGTATATTTTTATTTGACTATAAATATAACCATTCCTCCCTTCCTCTCCTCCACCATCTTTGCCCCACTAAACCACTTTCTTCTTTAAGGAGAACTAGTAGACCGTGAGCTCCTTGACAGCAGGCACCAAGTGCATGGCCTGGCATGTAGTAAGTGCTTAATAGACTGAAGGGATAGACCTGTAGACTAAGGCAGATCTGTTGCCATCTTTACTAACTTCTGTTGTCAGGTGGATATCCAGCCTCTGCTTGTATATCTCCATTAGAGGGTGCTCACTATTTCCTAAGGTAGCCCCATCCGTCAGTAGATACCTTCATATATTGTTCTAAAATCTGCCTCTTTGGAACTTATACTCATTAGTCCAATGAGTATAAGTAAACAGTTACTTATCCAGGGCCTAGTAGTTGTCAGACTCTGTTAGGAGCTGGGCACATAGAGAAAAAGGAGACCTTGTGTGGAACCGACTCTCAGCTAAACCATGTTAGACAAGCGCTCAGATATTTAGGCTGATACCTTTTACACAGAAAAAGAAACGTTTAGTCTTTCTCAGAATCTTCTTCCTGTTAGCCACAAGCAGGTCCACTAGCTGGGTTCAGGCCTGTTCTGACCTCATGTGAAGTTCAGATCTTCCCATGATGTTCTAAGGACACATATGTTAGGATCATGAGGATTCAGTTGAGGATCCTGCTCTTTTTTTCCTTGAGCCTTACTGTAGCTTCCTTAGCTAGCTAGAAGCAAGCTCCCTACCTCTTCTAGTCCCTTCTCTGCCTTGCTGTTGGAGACTTGTTCCCTGAGCCTAGTGAATACTGAAAGCCTTCTGGACTCAGGCTTCCTGGTCTACTCACCTTTTCACATTGCTCTCTCGGCTGCATACTCCCTACGTAGACTACCTGCATAGGTTAATCTAGTTAATGTATACCATTCACATGTATCCTTTACCTGATGTTGTATGTGCAAAGCCATATTTGTTTTGCTTAATGAACAATTCAGAGAATTTTTCAAGGTAATTTTGACTATATATTCAACTATTGCACTCTAAACTCTGTGGTAAGGGAAATAAAGAGATTCAGGTTATTAATATTTAGATTACACCCCAGAATGACTTTTAACTTAGTGAGAGCCTATTCATCGACCAAAGCTCATTTTAAGTACCCAGAGTTATCCTTTAGTATCCTATGTCATACTGATTTTTCCCTACTTGAGATCTCCTGTTAACACTTATTATCTGTGCCAGACATTTGTTACTTGATCGTATTTAACAAAATCCTTCCAATTCATGACTTCAATATTTTTGATTTCTCCCTCTTGCTCACAACAGATGTTGCGGAGATGTGTTAAAAATCGTTAACACAGAGTTGAGGTCTTCTTTCTAATGTAATCAAAATAATTGCATTGCCTTGTAAAAGAAAAAGTAGACAGTACAGTTTTATTGTTCTCGCTCTCTCTTTTGGGACACGTATTTTGATATTTTTAGTTGTGGGAATCTTTAAAACTGTCTGTCTCCTACACGAGCATCAGTTTTTGGGAGATCCCTCTATTTGTACTATTTGTAAGACATAGGCCTTGCTATGTATGTCTTACAGTAGTCAGTAAACACTATGATTTTATGTTACCAGTTTCAGTTAAATCTTGTACTCCATATCTGGCTTAGGATCTTGATGTCAAGTTTTAGGTAACCCTGCATCATATGTATCGAACACTTCTGCTTCATTGTGTTGCTAAGTGCAATAATTTTAAAAACTTTCTTAAACACATTAGAAACAGGATTTTAAGATGGTTGCATTTAGTGTAAAATAGCCAAATTATGGCTACTTTAAATTACAAATTTTGATTACATGTTCATTCACCTGTGTAGTCTAGTTATTGCATCATCACCACCAGTTGCTGTCAGATTGACTCGGACTCATAAAGACACCATGTGTGTCGGAATAGAACTGTGCTCCCTAGGGTTTTCAATGGCCGATTTTTTTCAGAAGTGGATCACCAGGCCTTTCTTCCAAGGCACCTCTGGGCAGTCTCAAATCTGCAACCTCAATAGTTAGTGAGAGTATTTTGGCAATTGTGGTAACGTTAGACTCAAAACTGCTGTTAATTATTAGGTAATCATAAAGCCAGAGGAAGTTGGGGCTTGTTTACATTCCTGTGCAGAATAATTCTCTATTTTAGATACATCTGTTTCCCATTAAGTAGATGAGCATATAAATGTGCAAAACAAATTACTGATTATTTAATTTTTTTCTTAGATTTCAAGATTAAGGTACTTTAGCAAACATACTCTGCTTTTCCTTTCTTGTTGTTAGGTTAATTAAAATTATCTTAATTCTTAAAAAACAAGCAAAAACTTGTCAGTATGAAGGTCGGCCAGTTGTATTAAAAAATTACCTATTTATAGAGATAAATATTGTGGTTTCTTTAATGTTTTTGATTTATTAATTAGAATATATTCTCAAACTGTTTTGTTTGTATCTCTGTCATGATACATTGAAGTTACTTATTTCTGTGTCTGTTTTTGAAAGAATTTTGCCTAGGGTCTGTATCTTAAAAGTCATGTTTTTAATTCCCTTTAACTTAGGGCCATATGTATCAGACACTCAAATGATGTTTGTTGAAAACAAAATGAATTTTTATAAATATTTCTCTTTAATATAGAGTCAGTCTAGCTGTTTATTTTCATCTACATTTAGTAACCTAAAATTGTGGTTTTCATAAACCAAAGGGAATATGAGGCAAGTGCAGAATTATAAGACTTGAGTATACTCAAAAGTGAGTTCTTGCTAGAAAGCATCTGGCCCTTGATTTTGGTTTTCACCAGGAGAAGCCCTTTAAGAAAATGGTGCTCTATATATAAGTTTATAACTTGCTACATAGGAATAAAATATGGACTAGGTAGCATCTAAAATTTGAGAATTATCTTCTACTTTTGTTTTTTTGTTGTCATTACACAAATATTTGGTCCATAGGGGAAACAGGTAACTGCCATAAACATTTACCTTGGATGGCCTTAAAATTTTGTTTTATCTTAATACAATTTAGTTAATGTGAATTATTCTTACGTTAAAAAAATGTTTTGAAATAATTTCTAAAGTACTTCCTGTTTTCCCAGATACACATTTCATTCTCTATGTTTTTTAACATTACAAATAATTTTTAAAATGCTTTCTCTCGTTTTTCGTTTTGAAAGCATTCTTCTGGTCATGACAGAAGGGAAAACTATAATTCACATCAGAGGACCTCCTCTCCAGAAGACAGGTAAACAATTTTATATGTTCTGAATACAATTGAAAGTTTTTGAAATAAGTTTAAGAAGTAGCTCTGCTCTTAGGTCCTTCATTTTAGGGTGAACAGCTTTTTTATGGTTTTACAAACAATATTGCTTTAATGAGCTTTAGGAGGAATCTACAGTGGCTGCAACAATGGACTCAAACATAGCAACGATGTCAGGATGGTGCAGGACTGGGCAGTATTTTGTTCTGTTGTGTGTAGGGTCCTTATGAGTCAGAACCAACTGGACAGCACCTAACTACAACAGGAATAAACAGCTTTGAATCACTGTTCTAGGAGTTTCTAGTAAATAATTCTGGATTTTATGTAATATTTTAGGTGATAGAGAACAATTTTAATAGTTCAAATACTAAATATAGTAGAAGTTGGTAAAATAGAATACTGAGTTGAAATTACGTTATTTGAAGTACTGCTTCTGTTGCTACTACTATCTTAGATTTATATAGTTTCATATTTAGGAAATATTTTTATATACATTATGTAATTTTATCATAATTATGTTGAGATCAAAGATCCAAAAATGCTACTATTCATGTGGATCATGCATTCATATCAGGGCTTCAGTTATGTCACTTAGTAAGCTGTAATCATTAAAAATGATTTATGAAGGGAGAAATCATTCTCTAAACTTGCTTCCATTTTTCTGATCTCTCCTTTATTCCCTATGTTCTTTCTTCTTATTCCACTTTGCTAAATATCTCCAAAAACCTTTGTTTTATAGCCATCATGGTAATTGCCACGGTTTGATACCGCTTACTACCTTTCACCAATCATCTGCTCCCTATACTCAAAAAATACATCTGTGCATATGTGTGTATATACATCTAAATTTATGCACACACACATATACATACATGTGTATAAATTAATTGTAGATGTATATATAACTTATGCATTATATTATTATGCATATGTATTATATGTGTACATATTTAACTTTTCTTAATCTCTGATTTTACTGACTTTTAAGATTTAAATAACAGATGTTGTGCTATCTCTCTTTGTATGCTAATAATTTCAATCCATTCTCACTGCTGTACAATATTGCGGTTTCAAGAATAACAGTTGATGAATATAGTCTTTTGGGATGGAATTAAACTGGTCCTTATGGAGGCCAACCAATGACATTGGTCTCATTTGTATAGTGTTCCAATAAAATGAGCCAACTAAACAAAAGAAGTCATTTACAGGACAGCCTTTTTCTATATATGATATACAGATATATGTCTTCTATTAAGGATGATATGAATCAGGATGAACAAGTTTGGTTAAGTGAATTCCAGAAATTGTTCCATTTCACAAAAGCTAGGAGCTTTTGTAATCGTGCCTGAATAAACATCAGCTAAATGAGCCGTTCGTTGAAACCAGTTTGTTAAAAACAGTTTGACAAGAAGTTTTTCAGTCATAGAGTTGCTTTAGCATTATATTTATAACACAGTTGTTTCCAGCTTATGCTTTTGTTCTTCCTATTTTACATCAGATATGCAGAACAAGAAAGATCCCCCCGGGAGAGAGATTACTTTGATTACAGCAGGTCAGACTATGAGCATTCAAGAAGAGGACATTCTTATGATAGTGGCATGGAGTCACGGTTAGTGTTGGAAATTTTAACTTTAGCAAAATTATATTTGTTTATATTTTCTTTATGCTTTGTAATAACAGAATAAGTAAAAATAGCAGTTGGCTTTTATTCTTGGGATGTTCTTAGGCATCAGGCTGTCTGATAAGGACTTCATGTGGCTTAACTGCTCATTGCAATAAATATGTGAAGTTGTTGTTGTGTGCCTACTATTATATCTATTTTACAGCTAAAGAAACTGAGACCTAGAGAAATTGAGTAATTTGTTCGTGTTTATGAAACATGTCTGACTGTAGCACCCAGGTTCTTAATCATTATACTGTACCACATTAGGGGTTGGCTTATATGATATTTTGAAGTTCTTTACTGAATGAAAGAAAATAATTTATTTTATGACCTGGAATGATTTAAATTTATTTTCCTATGTAATGGCAGAGAGACATTGTGAATGGTGTTACTAATCTGGAGTTTTTTCTAAATATAAATGATTCTTGAGTCTTGGAGAACTTGACTGCTCACCTGTTCCTCCTGCTAACAGGACCTATAGAACTTACCTGGCTGAGATGGAAAAGGGAACTGAAGGGAGGGCAGATAAACTCCTCTCCAAAGCAAAGATTATTAGTAGATTGAGGGCTTTTGGAAACTCTTGGGGCAATATTTAAGAAAAGTCAGATGTAAGTACCGTTCATTTTTCATTGAAAACTAGGTGGAGTGTTATAATTCCTTGTTATTGATCTATGTTTGTTGTTATTTCTTTTTCTCCCTTGGAGAAATTAGTAATAACTTTTGCAATGAGAATATTCGAATGAAGCTAACATTTTAGAAGACCCTCTATAAAAACCTTTCTAAATGGCCTCTGTATTTGCTTAGGAGCAAGTTGAATGGAGAAAAAAGTTGCTTAGTGGATCTGGAGAAAGAATTCCCCAGGTAGAAACAATGGTAGCATCAAAGAGAGTAGGTGAGCAGTTAACTAGAATGCTCAGTATAGGGAAAGAGGTTCACGAAATTTTACAGGAGATGGAACTATTCTCAACTGCTTTAACAGGACCCACTATATGAGTAATGCTCTATTGTACGTATCCATGCTTTTGAGAAGAGTAGTGGTGCAGACAATTTACTAATCATCTAAAAGTGGCTTTGGTATTTCCTTTTTAATGAGGTAGAGTTGCATAGTAGAAAGAACCCTTATACTTCATATTCATACAGATTAGAGTTCAAAGTCTTAGTTGTAGTTATACAAATTTGGTAACGTTTCTTACCAATTTTATTCTGAACATCAGTTTCCTCATCTGTAAAATGAGGGCTGTAATGTGTCTGAACAGTTTGTCTTAGGTTTGGAAATAACTTCTGTATTAATACCACATCTGGAACATAGTAAAAACAAACAAACAAACAAACGCATTGCTGTTGAGTTGATTTAAACTCATGGAAACCCTTTGTGTGACAGAGTAGAACTGCTCCATAGGGTTTTCTTGGCTGTAATCAAGGTTCCCTGGGTGGCTCAAACAGTTAAGCCCTCGAATACTAGCCGAACGATTGATCGTTCAAACCTACCAGGAGGTGCCTTGGAAGAGCAGCCTGGTGATCTGCTTGCAGCAGGTTACAGCTTTGAAAACTCTATGGAACAGTTGTACTGTGCACACGTGGGGTCACCATGAGTCAGAATCGATTCGATGACAACTAGCGACAATTTTAATGGCAATCTTAAACGCCTGGCACATTTGTCAGGCCTTTCTTCCACTGCAATTTATAGATTAGTAATTGAGCACAAACTGCTCGTACCACATAGGGTCCTCAGAAATAACAATTTTAAAAATTATTTTCTTAAACACATCAATTTAAGTAGTGAAGAGAAGGGAACCAATGGCATATTGAATAGTATATAGAAAACAGCGGAAGAATTCAAATTTCTTAGTGTTGTACAAAGTGGTTAAATACTGATTATATGTTTTAATTAATCTGGCAAAACTAACAAATTCTGTTAGTATTTCATAAACCATATGATCTGTTTCCCAAGTTCTATTTATGTATCTCCAACAACCATTTCCCTTGTTCCTTCAAAGACATCTAAAACTACATTTGTTATCTTCATAAGATTAGCTTTCTCCTCATTTTCCTGTTTGTCTTTACCAGTCATGCAGTTTCAAAAACTTGTCTCCCATGTTCTATTTGTTCACCAGGTTCTATATCCTTCTTGATGTCTCATATTTTACCTACCCCATAACTACCCAGACTATACCTCCACTAGAAATTTGATCAGATTCCTCTGCAGTTTAGAGCTGTGCACATTTTTTGGTATCTACAGCCTAAATTATCTTCTCACAACTTTCTGTTATGTACCTAATCCTGACTTGTCACATTAGCCTCCAAAAAGCCAGGCTTATCTGGTGTTACCTTAATAAGAACAAGTAATATCGCCATTAACTGGATGCCTATACATTTTCTTCCTGTGCTAGGTATTTTGCATACTTTCTCAAATACTCTAAAAACTCTTACAAAGTAGGTACTATTATTCCTAATGTATAAATAAGGAAATAGGTTTGAAGTGATGAAGTAACTTACCTGTGGTTACAATTACACAGCTGGTAGATGATCCAGCTGGAATTTGAACTCAGTTTTATCTGACCCCAAAACTCATGCACTTTCCACACCCATGGCTATATTACTTCAGTAACTCTTTACGAGTTGATACATTCTAGATATTTAAAGTCCCATTTGATCCTCACAGTCATACTGTGAAGTAATCAAGCTGTATATCATGTAGAATATAAAGGCTAACAGTCCGAAAGCATTTGAAGACAGATGTTTCTGTTTAGAATCAAAGAAGACTATTATTTTTGCACTGTAAAGGAGCAAGCACAAGAATTGTAGGGACATAGTTTTATCAGCTAACTAGCTGCCTTACCTGATGTTTCTCAGAAGAATCATAATCAATGTCAGTAAATCCCTGCTGTAGCTACTTCTTGGAGCATGCTACATTTACAGTAAGGCTCAGCTCAGTTGCAAATCTGTGCCTAGAATTTGGAATACCCGCCCTTGTGACTAATTGTAGTTTGTATTTGAAACCAACTTTTTTCCCCTTTGTTCACGCCTTACTGTATACACAGACTGTCCTCACTGGCAGTCACTCAGGTCCCTGTATACCTCAGTTTCAAAACTGCTCCTCTGCAGCTGCCTGGGATATTGCCTGCTTTTCTCTTTCCATGCAGGTTGTGTTTCTGTATATTAAGATAGACCATCTCAAACATATCCTTCACATTTTGCTAAAATCTATTCAGTTGTTCCCTGGTGATGGAATGACAACATGAAACTTATTTTTATTTACTATGTTCATATAACTCATGGTTGCCCAAAGCATGAGTGGAAGGCTCTGAGTTTCAAAAGCAATATAAAAAATCAGCTAAGTGGAGAAAGTCTTCTCTGGGGAAAGATAGCAAAAAGCAAACACTCACTCTTTGCTGTTTAGTTCTTGATGGTTTCATAGAACAAGACTGTTTTAAAAGGATTAATTTAAGAAAGAGTACTCACCTACATTAGTAGGGAGGAGTTAATTTGTGGCTAGAAAATGGTTGATTTTTTTCACATTGTTTCAAATAACCAGAAGCTTCTGATATCCTGAGATTTCTAGTAAAAGTACCAGTGATATTGAAAACAATTTTAAATATTACATTTTATTGTAACAGTCTTATTCCTAAAATTGCCTTTGTTGTTAGTTGCCATTGAGTTGGCTCAGACTCATGGCAACCATATGTACAACAGAATGAAATGTTGCCCAGTCCTGCACCATCTTCATGATTATTGGCATGTTCAAGTCCATCGTTGCAGCCATTGTGTCAATTCATCTCATTGAGGATTTTCCACACTTTCATTGGTTAACCTCGGGGATTCATCTTCCATCATCTATATGGGACAATATTTTGTTGTGACTGCAGGGTTTTTACTGGCTAATTTTTGGAAGTAGATGGCCAGGCCTTTCTTCCTAGTCTGTCTTACTCTGGAAGCTTTGCTGAAACCTGTCCACCATGGGTGACCTTGCTGGTATTTGGAGTACCAGTGGCATAACTTCCAGCATCATAGCAACATGCAAACCACCACGATATGACAAACTGACAGACAGGTTGTGGAAAAATTGTCTTTATTAGAGATAAACTCTGGTTTCTCTTTTATACAATATGTTATATACATCACAGGCCAATTTGTCTTCTTAAAACACTATTTTTATGTCATTCTCCCACTCAGAAACCTTTAATGATTCCCTATCATCTCCATGTAAAAAACTTAATCTTTAAGATTTCAAAGTCTGACTCCAACTCCTTTTCCCAACCACCATAATAACATTGTTCTTTATTGTTTACTGATTGTTCTACTCATTCTCAGGAGCCAGGGTGGCACAAACACAGGGTGGCACAAAGCTCTGGTTAAGAGCTCAGTTGCTAACCTAAAGGTTGGCTCGAACCCACCCAGTGGCTCCATGGGAGAAAATCCGGGAAATCTGCTTCTGTAAAGATTACAGCCTAGAAAACCCTATGAGACAGTTCTGCTCTGTTACATGAGGTCACTATGAGTTGGAATCAATTCAGCAGCAGCCACCAACAGCTACTCATTCTGGCCTAAACACTTCCCCTTTTTTCACTAGTTAATTCCTGTTCTGTTAGTTGCAGAGTACTCTTCTCCCTCCTCACCTTCTCCCTCCCTGTCTAAATCCAATGAAACCTTCAAATCAAACCAAACCCATTGCCGTCAAGTTGATTCCAACTCAGAGCGACCCCATAGGACAGAGTACAACTGCCCCATAGAGTTGCCAAGGCTATAATCTTTACGGAAGCAGACTGCCCCACCACCTGCTTTGCAGTTAGCAGCTGATAGTTTAACCACTTTGTCACCAGGGCTCCTTATGAAACCTTCAAGACCTAGTGTAAGTTATAGTTTTTCTGTGAGACACTTTCTCTCACCATTCCAAACGCTTTTTCTAGTCGGAATATGTGTGCCCACTTCTGCTGTCACTTATTTCATGTGCAGTTCATTGTAAGAGTGTATTTATATTGTTCTTTTCTCTATTTAAAAAAAATTAACATTACAGAAGTAGGGACCGAGAAAAACGAAGAGAAAGAGATATGGATCGGAAAAGGTCCCGGAAATCCCCATCTCCTGGGAGAAGAAGCCCAGAGCCATCCGTAACCCAGAGTTCCTCTGCTCAGGATGAACCTACTGCAAAGAAGAAGAAAGATGAAGTGGATCCTCTCCTTACTCGAACTGGTGGAGCATATATTCCTCCTGCAAAGCTCAGGATGATGCAAGAACAGATCACAGATAAAAGCAGGCATGTTCATATTACTAAGTACAGGTAGTCCCCAACTTACGACAGGGTTTCGTTCTGACACCTCCGTTGTAAGTTGGTTCTGACGTAAGTCAAATGCCTCGGTTTTTAGTTTTCAGTGTTATTGCCTTTTATTATCAGTGTCCTTATACATCATAAGATTGAACATCTGGGAGTGAACATCTGAGTGATAACATCAGCAAATTTCTCACTGCAACATTGCATGTAGTACATATTACTAATGATAAGATGTACAAAAAAAAAAAAACAACTGCAGTTTGTCATAACTCGAATACATCGTAAGTCGAGGACTACCTGTATACAAAGCAATGAGATAGTGTTTAAAAAGAAAATTATCTATTGTCTAATTAACCTTGGCTGTTGAAAATTTACTGCTTGCATACTACTTGCCCTGACATTAGCTTATAACTTCTTTATTTTTGTCGTGAATGAATTTAAAAGTTTGAGGAAAATGTCACATCTTTTTTTTTTTTAAATAATTTTCAAACTGTTTTTCTCATAATTACATGCGTGCCTATTAGAAATGTCTTTTTTCATAGATAGTGAAAAGTACTATTGATAGGTTAAACCTACAGTGGATCTTTACAATTGTACTAAACCAGGAGTCAGCACTTTTTCTGTGAAGTAAAATATTTTAGGGTTACTTAAAAAAAAAAAAACTGTATAGTCATCTAGCATTCAGCTGGTATAGCTGTAGGTCTATTGTTTAAATGTAGAGGTGTTCTTAATAATATTTAGAGCATTCTTTCAGCCCCATGATTCCATTCCTTTTCCTGTAATTATTACCATTTATTTATAGTTCAAAACATTTTACTTTGTTGTCTCTGTCATATTTTTATGAGATGGGACATAATAACAATTGCCTTTTTATGGCTTATATTCGAGTGTTTCATCTTGTAATGTTTTTTCAAAAAATAATTGCCTTTATTTTAAGATTTCTGTTAAAGACAAGTTTAAGTAAATGAAGCATATAATGTAACATAAATATGTATTGAACCTAAGTAGTAAATGTTATAAATTGAAATATACATGGACATAAGAAAAAAACATTATCCTTTTAATTATATTATTAAGAGGAAGTGATCTCTACTTAAACATGATGTATATGCAGAAAGTTGAACATGGTTTAGGATATAATCTGTTTCCTATACCCACCTATATTTTATTGTAGTTTTGGGTCATTTTATTGTGAAAATAACATTAAAAGTAAAGGAACACTAAGTATTTTTTATATTCTTATTAAACCTCTTGTGATTGTAGTTTTTGACTAAATCTTGTCTTTATTAAAATCTATTTTTTTAGCTTAGCATACCAGAGGATGAGCTGGGAGGCACTGAAGAAGTCAATCAATGGACTTATTAACAAAGTTAACATTTCTAACATAGGTATTATTATTCAAGAACTTCTTCAAGAAAATATAGTTAGAGGAAGGTAAGTGTCAGCCATTTTGTTTATAGTATTTCAAAGGAACATAATATCTACATGAACAATTGATTTATTGTGCTACTTCATTTCAAAATTGTTGTTGTTGTTGTTAGATGCTGTGTAGTCAGTTCTGACTCATAGTGACCCTATAGGACAGAGTAGAACTGGCCTATAGGGTTTCCAAGGAGCAGCTGGTGGATTTGAACTGCTGACCTTTTGCTCAGGACCCCTTCTATTAACCACTACACCACCAGGGCCCCTCATTTCAAAGTTAGTGGAGAATATTTATTTAAAATATAGTTCTTAGAAAAATGTAAGCTACTGACAAATAACTTGCACCTCACTGTTGAGATGGTGTGGAACTTTTGCTTTTCAAGAAGCTTTTTTTTTCTTTCTCTCTCTATTAATGACTTTATTATTATTTTTTATTGTACTTTAGAGAAAGGTTCACAGAAAAAGCTAGCTTCTCATGAAACAAATAGTACACATATTGTTTTGTGACCTTGGTTACCAACCCCATGACATGTCAACACTCTCACTTCTCAACCTTGGGTTCCCTATTACCAGCTTCCCTGTCCCCTCCTGCCTTCTAGTCCTTGCCCCTTTAGTCCCATTTTGTTTTATGGGCCTGTCTAATCTTTGGCTGAAGGGCGAACTTCAGGAGTGACTTCCTTACGGAGCTAAAAGGGTGCCTGGGGGCCATACTCTTGGGGTTTTTCCAGTCTCTGTCAGGCCAGTAAGTCTGGTCTTTCTTTGTGAGTTAAAATTTTGTTCTGTATTTTTCTCCAGCTCTGTCTGGACCCTCTATTGTGATCCCTGTCAGAGCAGTCGGTGGTGGTAGCCGGGTACCATCTAGTTGTGCTGGACTCAGTTTGGTGGAGGCTGTGGTGGTTGTGGTCCATTAGTCCTTTGAACTAATCTTTCCCTTGTATCTTTGGTTTTCTTCATTCTCCTTTGCTCCTGAAGGGATGAGACCAGTGGAGTATCTTAGATGGCTGCTCACAGTCTTTTAAGACCCCAGATGCTACTCAGCAAAGTAGAATATAGAGCATTTTCTTTATAAACTATGTTATACCAGTTGAGCTAGATGTTTCCTGAGACCATGGTCCCCATAGCCCTCAGGCTAGTAATTCGGTCCCTCAGGGATTTTGGATGTGTCTGTGGAGCTTCCATGACCTTGCCTTGGACAAGTTGTGCTGGCTCCCTCAGTTTTGTGTACTGTTTTACCCTTCACCAAAGTTACCACTTATCTATTGTCTGTTTAGTGTTTTTCGCTCTCCACCCCTTCCCTCGCTCATAACCATCAGACATTGTTTCCTTTTGTGTGTAAACTTTTTCATGAGTTTTTTTTTTAGTAGTGGTCTCATACAATATTTGTCCTTTTGTGATTGACTAATTTCACTCAGTATAATGCCCTCCAGATTCATCCATGAGATCCTTCCCAGATTAATCATTGTTCTTTATTGTTGTGTAGTGTTCCATTGTGTGTATGTACCATAGTTTGTTTATCCATTCATCTGTTGATGGGCATCTAGGTTGTTTCCATCTTTTTGCTATAGTGAACAATGCTGCAGTGAACATGGGTGTGCATATGTCTGTTGGTGTGATGGCTCTTATTTCTCTAGAATGTATCCCTAGGAGTGTGATTGCTGGATCCTATGGTATTTCTATTTCTAGCTTTCTAAGGAAGCGCCATATCATTTTCCAAAATGGTTGTGTCATTTTGTGTTCCACCAATAGTGCATAAGAGTTCCAGTCTCCCTGCAGCCTCTCCAGCATTTGTTATTTTCTGTTTTTTTGATTCTTGCCAGTAATGCCAGGGTGAGATGGTGTCTCATTGTGGTTTTGATTTGCATTTCTGTAATGACTAGTGATTGCAAGCATTTCCCCATGTGTCTGTGAGCCACTTGAATGTCTTCTTTGGTGAAGTGTCTGTTCATTTCCTTTGCCCATTTTTTAATTGGATTATGTGTCTTTTGTTGTAGAGGTGTTGGATTTTCCTGTAGATTTTAGAGATTAGACCTTTGTCAGATTTGTCGTAGCCAAATTTTTTTTTCCAGTCTGTAGGTTCTCTTTTTACTGTTTTAGTGAAGTGTTTTGATGAGCTTAAAAGTGTTTTATTTTTAGAAGATTCCAGTTATCTAGCTTATCTTCTGGAGTTTGTGTGTTGTTAGTTTTCGTTTGTATCTTGTTAATGCTGTGTATGAGGGCCTTTAGCATTGATCCTGTTTTTTCTTCTATGATCTTTATAGCTTTTGGTTTTATATTTAGGTCTTTGATCCATTTTGAATTAGCTTTTGTGTATGATGTGAGGTATGGGTCCTGTTTCATTTTTTTGCAAATGGACGTCTAGTTTTGCTAGCACCGTTTGTTAAAAAAATTGTCTTTCCCCATTCGATGGACTTTGGGCCCTTCTCGAAGATCAGGTGACCATAGGTGGATGGATTTACATCTGGGTTCTCAATTCTGTTCCATTAGTCAGTGTATCTGTCATTGTACCAGTACCAGATTGTTTTGACTACCATAGCAGTATAGTAGGTTCTGAGGTCAGATAATGCAAGTCCTCTAACTTTATTCTTCTTTAGTAGTGCTTTACTTATCTGGAGCCTCTTCCCTTTCCATATAAAGTTAATGATTAGTTTTTCCATCTCTTTAAAGAATACTGTTGGTATTTGGATCGGGATTGCATTGTATTAGTAGATTGCTTTGGGTAGAATTGACGTTTTCACAAATACTGAGTCTACATATCCATGAGCATGGTATGTTTTTCTGTTTATGTAGATCTCTTGGTTTCTTGCAGTAGTGTTTTGTAGTTTTCTTTGTATAGGTCTTTTACATCCCTGGTTAGATTTATTCTGAAGTATTTTATTTTTTAGGGGCTATTATAAATGGTATTGTTTTCCTGATTTCGTTTTTGTCGTTCTCTTTATTGGTGTATAGGAATCCAACTGATTTTTGTATGTTTATCTTGTATCCTCCTACTCTGCTGAATCTTTCTATTAGTTCCAGTAGTTTTCTCGTGGAGTCTTTTGTATTTTTTTATGTATACTATCATATGCTTTTCAAGACTCTTTGATGTCACATGATGAGTTTCAGTGTCTCAAATGATTTAAATCCGTGAGGAATAATTAATAAAAATATATAGAGAAAAAAGAAGAGCTACCTTAAACCAATTTAATTTCTAATGAAAGCGAAATGAGAATATGAGAGCAAAATTTATCATCAGTAAATTCCAGAAAAGCAGAAGGTATTGATTAATCATTTGGATTAATCAGTTAACTTTTCTAGATCCTTGCTTCAGCATAAATTGTGACTATAAGACTGATAAAACACAGAACACGCAACCAGAGGCAATGGTGAGTTTCTAGCCTTGAAAATCACCCAAGTTGAATATCTAACATTTTCCTAGATGTTTTTGAAATCTAGGTTTGCCTGAGGCAGCTGTTGTCTTTTTTATACCTCTTTCCTATAGATTAAAACATGTTTTATTTCAATACTGCAAGAGGCCATACACATATTTATTAGTTTAAGGCAGTCTTTTTAAAGTGCTGTTAATATCTTTGCTTTAAACAAAAAAGCGTTTTAGAAGCTCTGAAATAAAATTAAGCTGATTTCTTGGTTGCTGGATGTCTCAGACATTTTAATACCCTGACAGCATCTTGAGTCTAAGGAGGCTGTTGTTATATAGAGCACTTATATCCCAAATATATTTAACCATGGAACCCTCTTGGAGGAGATATTATTAAAAGCTCTCTGACATATTGTTCCTTGGAATAAAATTTGAGATATTCTAGACATTGACTTGTCTTGCCCTAAAGTTTGGCTAATAAATATGGTGATATTCTTATAATACTAGTTAAATATCCGTAGAGATATTTTTAAATTTTTTAAAAATGCAATGTCTGTTTTGTTATTTAACATTGTTAATCATAAAAAGAAAGTTCTTAAATTCAAGTTAAAATTATCTTAGAGCAAAGCAGAGTAAACTAAAAGAAAAAAATTTTCTCCAAACTTTACTCAGATATTTTTCATAATTCCATTAAAAAATTTCATAAATCATTGAGAACTGAAAGGTACCTTACATTTTATCACTTAAAGAAATAATGGAGTACTAGACTATATGTTGATACTCTAAGACTAGAGGAAAAATAAACTATGTTAATATAAACCTGCCTCCAGCTGTTAACTGTCAAATTTAAGAGCACAGCACAAATTTATTGTCCCTCAGATAAAAATTACCATTTCCAAGGGTCCGAAGAAATAGTATGATTTAGAAGTACAGTGACTTGCTAACTGGCCTTGTTATCATCATCATACATAGTATTTATTATTAACAATTACTGAGCAGTTATATGCCAGACCCTGTGCTAAATGCTTAATGTTTTTTTCCTTGTAACCATTTCAAAAGGTAGGTTCAACAAGGCTATGTACCTTGGCCAAGGTTAAGCAGCTGGTAGGTGGCCTAGCCAGAATAAACTCGCTTTTGTGTGACTCCCAGGCTCGCATTCTCTGCATTTTGTCTGTTGTCTCATGTGATTCCTCTGTTGTGTGGGCTGAGTTCTCTTGTTTTCTAGCCTGAGTGATTCAGTTGTTATACCTAAACCTAATAACTGTTAAGACTTTTTTTCCTGCCTTTTAGCAGTCCAGTAATTATTTGTTATTACATTATTAAAAATAACTCTTCAGTTAGCCCACTCTGCATCTCTCCCATCCCAATCAAATACATATAGAAAACATGACCATTTCCAAATGAGCTAAAAGTAGAATGTTTTATTTTTATGTCATTGTTTTACCACTCATCTTGCAGTGTCTTTACTCAAAGAAGTATTCCAAATCTTCAGTTTTATTCATTAAGAATAGACTTCAAGAGTGAAACCACCCAGATTTGTCTTTAATCACAAAATTAGTTTTACATAAATCATGGGCCCATAGTGAAAGTTGTACATTAAATCTAAATGTAGTACTTTTGAAAAAAGTCTTTTTTTTCCCCTTCACTTCTTTGAAAATGTTTTAAAAAGTCAAGTTCATGATTAGATGAAGCAGGAAAAGAGTAATTATATCTAAAAAGAAAAAGATTGTAGTAAAATTTTAAATCTGTTTTATAAAAGCACAAATTCAAGTTTTGTTTTCTCAAAAACAGTATGTATTTATTAGTAAGACCAACTATTCCCGTAGATAAAGTAGTGAAAATTTGGTTGTGATTTAGCTTTGGTGATTATTTACAGAGTAATGTTACTGGCATTTTAAATGAATTTATTAAAATGAATTTGTTTTCTTTTTCTTTCTTTTTTTTTTTTAAATAGAGGACTGCTATCCAGGTCTGTTTTGCAAGCACAGAGTGCTTCTCCAATCTTCACTCATGTTTATGCAGCACTGGTGGCAATTATCAACTCAAAATTTCCACAGATCGGAGAATTAATCCTCAAGAGGTTAATTCTTAATTTTCGAAAAGGCTATCGAAGAAACGATAAGGTATATATGATGGACTTGTATGTAGACTGCCCCGCAGGGACAGACTAACAAACCAATAGCAATAATAGTAAGAAATGTTGCATTATACAGAGGAATGTTTTCTAAAAACTGTGTACTTCATGAGAACTTTTTTGGTTCTTTTAAATATCCCTGGCCATAAAATTTTTAACTATAAATGTTTAAATATTAAGTATTAAATATTAAATATTTAAATATTAACTATTAAATATTTAACTATAAAATTTTGATGGTTTAGCCAGAAATGACACTTTTTCATGGGTATTGGTTTTTATCTTGTAACTTTCATAAAAATTTGCTTTGTGCGTTACATATTTCAAATAGAATGTGTTAGTAGGCTGTAGGTTCTATAGATAAGTGAAAATTGGTTGTAGTTTATAAGTTAACCTTGTCTCTGTCTTCACTTTCAGCAACTTTGTCTGACTGCTTCAAAATTTGTGGCCCATCTTATTAACCAAAATGTGGTTAGTAGTTATCTTTAATACTATGTCCTGTTCAGTGGCATTAGACCATAGTCTCAGTGCCATTTCAGTAACACATCTCTTTTTGTGTTTGTTTTGATTTATAGTTTTTGAGATAAGTATCTTGGATGATATTTTCATTTTAAAACTTGTAAATGCATTTAATATTCTTTGATATTAAAAGGAACCAGAACACTTTTACGTTCTTCATCAAATTGATCTAAACTCTTAATATTGTGGTTGATTATTTGCCCACAAATTATTCCTTCAAAGAATATAATTTGTTTTGTTTTTTATAATTTAATTTTGTTGTTGTTGAGAATATACACAGCGGAACATACACCAATTCAACAATTTCTGCATGTTCAGTTCAGTGACATTGATTACATTCTTCAAATTGTACAACCATTCTCACCCTCCTTTTCCATATTGTTCCTCCTCCATTAACATAAACTCACTGCCCACTAAGTTTCCTGTCTAATCTTTTGAGTTAATTGTTTTATAAAACATTAAAATTGTTATCTCCTCCACTTCTTTCACCCATACATAGTGCTAATGAGAACCTAATCAATATCTGGTTATTTTATCAAAAACTTGGTTCCTTGCAGCTATGTAGATATAATCATATTTTTAGAATCAACCTCTAAAATGCAGATTAAATAATCTTAATCTGTTTTAAATACAAATAATTTTATTACTCAGTTTTTCTATTTTGTATTCATACACTATTTGAGAATTTTTATTTAGCTTCTGTTTAAACTTAAAAATAGTAAAATTGCTCTTGTTCATCTTCAGAGGTTTCCTTCAGAAACATATTATCATTTTAAATTTAGTATCTGTTATAAGTGGAAGAATTTTGAAGCCATACTTAATCTTATTTCTGTGGCATAAAATAACATTTTAATTCTTTCCTACATGAAATTCTTTCAAGTGTTCACTCTTAAAATATCTTTGGATTTTAACCTAGTAAGTTCTCATATTATTACAATGATGACCATGGAAACTTAACTTCACATGCTACAACAGCACAGATAATTTCAGTTTTCAGTTATATATTCCACTTGTATTGGATTTTTGACATTGTCACAAAATAGTTAAAGTGATAAATATTTCCTTCTTCTCCATGTGGAATGGGACAGAATTTTCTTGTCACTGATGTAAGACTGTTTCGCCCCTTCCCTAAAAATAAAAAATGTATTTTTGATGTTATGCTCAATGTGAAGTGGAAATTCTTGGGCTAGTCATCTGGAAATTCTTAACAGATGGATAATGAAAGCAAAAGAAAAATTGTGCCCCATATTTGGAGTATTACTATATATATTATAAAACTTTGATCATCATGTATGTAATATAACCATTGCAGTGCACAGATTTACTAATTTTTAAATTTTCTGTCAACAGTGAGTTAATATGTCTAAAAATGTTTTTTCTCTTTCAAATGACTGCATTCTGTTCCAGGCACATGAAGTTTTATGCCTGGAGATGCTCACTTTGCTCCTGGAAAGACCTACAGATGATAGTGTTGAAGTAGCTATTGGTTTTCTCAAGGAATGTGGCCTCAAATTAACAGAAGTATCACCGAGAGGAATTAATGGTAAGTGTATCCTTGCTTTGATACTGAGCTTTTATTTGCATATTATAATTATAATATTTACTGCTTATTTTATTGTCTTTTCTTTCTGTTTAACTTTAGCTATATTTGAACGCCTTCGAAACATTCTCCATGAGTCTGAAATCGACAAAAGAGTTCAGTATATGATTGAAGTGATGTTTGCAGTACGGAAGGATGGATTCAAGGATCACCCGGTTATCCTAGAGGGACTTGACCTAGTGGAAGAAGATGATCAGTTCACCCATATGCTCCCTCTGGAGGATGACTATAATCCTGAAGATGTTCTTAGTTAGTCTGGGGCAGGGCTGCGGGAGTGGGGCACCAACAAATGTAAATATAGAAAATGAACACTTACTTAATTTTTGCTTTATTTTTTAAAGATGTTTTCAAGATGGATCCTAATTTTATGGAGAATGAAGAGAAATACAAAGTCATTAAGAAGGGTATGTAGAATTTTTTTAAAGAATTTGTTTTGGATAAATAGAAGCAGTTTAGGTAATTACATAAATGCTGATAGAAAGGAAATATTTAGGTATCAGTGATCCCCACGTGAAGAAATGCCTGTTCTTGTGAAGCCATTCTCTTCACTGTTTCCTATGCCTTATTTTCTTTCTAGTGCTCACCCATGGTATTACTTCTTTCTGAATTATTTGTCTCACTATCCCTTTCCTCCTTCCCTCCTTGTAAATTGTCTGCAACCTTTAAGTCTCACCTCTCTTAAGAAATATTCATAGATTACTCACGCCCTTTATTAAATCTCTCTCTCTACCACTGACAGTCTCTGCCACTTGGTTTCATATTCAGTTAAATGCTGTACTTTATTATTTCTTGAAGGCAGTTGATAACTATCTGTTTTCCTTTTGATAACTGCAATCACAGTTCTAGATATAGTATTGATGCTTAATAATGGTAAATTGGTAATTATTACCATTTATACATCATTAGTATATTATAAGCTCTAACTTTGTTTCAACTTTGACTTTTATTTTGTCTTTGCCATTACTAGCTAAGTGACCTGGGGCAAGTTACTTGTTTGATATAAGGATAAATGTTACTTGTTAGTGTAACACTAGATGAAATAAACTTCTTTGCATTGTCAGAGTTAATGGTCAGACAATGATAGCTATTATTATTTTCACATTTGTGTCATTTTTCTTTGGAAATCTACTGTTCAGGGCTACTTATATAGTAATATTACTGGTTCATTTTCCTTGAGCTGAGATTATACTTGAGAGTTTTATTGCCTGTATTCCATGCTTTAGTCATGCTTAAGAGTGGACTGTTGAAGTAGAAGGTAAAGGTGTAAGAAGCTCTTCATTTCTGTACGTTATCATCCTACAAACCTAATACAAAAGGTTTCTCTTTTTAGATGCTTATTTCCCTGGGGGTGTTTCACTACAAGTGCTAGATTCCTTCCTCTGTTATCATTTAGTTTCCAAACACTGAGAACTCCTTCGGCCCATTTTGGCTTTTCTTATTAACCTTTTTCTATAGTCTCCCCAAAAGCTGCCAAATAGTTCTATGGAATTTTTCTTACACTTAGTGTAATCTTCTTTGTTTTACACTCAGAGTTCCCCATCCATTTCTTTGTGGTCTTGGCAGCTGGCCAATACCTGGAAAGTAGCCCTTTCCTTTATTACAGCAGTTTTCAAACTCTAGTCTCAAGATACCTTTACACTCTTGAAAATTAGCTTTTGTCTATGGGGGTTATATCTATTGACATTTACTTTATTAGGAATTAAAACTGAAAATTTTAAAAAAATTTATTAATTCGCTTAAAAATGATAGTAAACCGGTTACATGTTAATATAAATTACATATTTTTATGAAAAATAACTTACAAAACAAAAATTTAGTGAGAAGAATAGCATGTTTTATATTACTGCAAATCTTTTTAATGTCTGGCTAAGTAGAAAACAACTGGATTTTCATATCTACTTCTGTATTCGGTCTGTTGGAACACATTGTTTCGACTGAAGTATTTGAAAAAATTTAGCCTCACACAGATATGTAGTTGGAAAAGGGAGCACTATTTTAATAGCCTTTTCAGATAATTGTGTATATTCTTCCTTGATACCCACCCAAACCCACTGCCATTGAGTAGATTATGAGTCATAGCAACCCTATAGGACAGGGTAGAACTGCCCCATAGGTTTCCAAGAGTACAAATTTTTACAGAAGCAGACTGCCACATCTTTCACCTACGGAGCAGCTGGTGGGTTCAAACCACTGACGTTTTGGTTAGCAGCCGAGCATTTAACAGCTGCGCCACCAGGACTCCCTATTCTTCCTTGATACTATGACAGTATTTAATAACTGGAAGTTTCTTCCAGATTAATTGCTATTAGAATATGAAACACTGTCCATGAACTTTTCCTACTCTGTTACATGAAATTTCCTTGGTCTGCCTCTTCGAATGGAGCTTTTACTTTTACCCATGCCTGATTTTGTAACATGTTACAATGGTCATTTGGAAATTTCTGATACACTAAGTTATGTGTATTTTCGAAGTGTTAACATGTCATTTTACAATAACAAAATCACGTTTGTGAAGACTACTTCTAGGTCTCTTCAGAAAAGTCTTAAATATTGGGAAACTGACACGCTTACATTGATGGATACAAGTTTTTCAAAATTATAATTTTCTCTTGAAAATTTTAGATTTATCATGGTGGAACTGTTAATTGTTTTCCTTGAAGTGACAGGCTCTCTTTGTTTATATTTGAGAAAATGTCTGCAAAATACCTTATAAGTAGTTTGTCACCCAGTCTTTCAAGTAAAAAATTAAAAAACAGCTAATTCATCTTGAGACACAATCACACAAGCGCTTTTCCTTGAGATCACTATCACCATTATACATCTGTCTTTAACAGAAGTGCTGTATATGAACTTCATATTTTGTCACCCTGAATATTGTAAGGATAATTCAAGGACTATGATTTAATAAAATTAATGTTATACTTCTTTGCCAATGACATTTTTAAATGAAACTAGCGTTTTTTTTCCCTACAGCAAGAATGTGGCAGTGAAGAATACAATGACTAGTGCAGTTTGGTGCATTGACTTGTGCTAGGGTTGCAGTAGTTGTAACCCCTGTTGCTTTTGAACCATCATTGCAAATGTCAGCACAGTGAAAAAGTCAATAATGTCTTGGTATTATTATGAAAATAGTTTTGACCTCACAGATCACCTGACCTCACCTCAGGAGTTCATAGATCACACTTTGAAAACCACTGCTTCAGTCAATCAGTTAATAAAATCCAATGTCATTGCCTCAGGGATTCTAGTGAATATATTCTAAAGTGGAAAGATGAGAGGGTGATATAAATGATTAGATAATTCATTTGACCTTCATTCGTTCATAAGATGTTCTATAGCTGACATAAAAATATGGCCCCAGCAGGAAGCGAGCACAGCTTTAGTAATTAGCACCTTAGAGTGACCCAGGTGTACTTGTGTTTTGGGTCTTACAGCATTTGGAAAAACAGCAGGAGTGCCTCTCTTCCTACTAGGGAATACTAAATAATTTCCTCTTTTAAAAGTCTGTGTAAGTCATAATGTAGAGTGATACACTAGATATTACACATTGCTTCTTGAAGTCACATTTGTTAGAAGTATTCTTGAAGAGATTCGTGTATCAGATAAGGCCTGAATGACAACTCTGCATTTTTGTGAAGTGTTCCTTATAGTATCAAGTTTTCTCCTAACATTAATTGTGTATGGCTTCTGATTTATACTGCTTAGGTTAACTTGAAAGAAAGTGGAATTTTCCTAAAAATTAATTGGCCCCCAAAACTTTGTATTAAAAGCTCTCTGATTATAATAGAAATGCAAAAGTAAAGTGTTGGCCTGGTTTATGAAATTATCAGGCTAATAGAGCACACACTGTGGTGCAAAATGTAATTTTAGTTTGTGTTATTTGTTTGCTACTAATATAACTGACCTTATGTAGTCTCTGTTTATATCACTTATTTTCATCAATTTCTAAAGGTGAGTTTTATTTAAGAAATGATAATCCAATAAAAGTGCCCGTCTTACCAATATTAAAGATTTATAAACTTCAGCTTTTATTTACATATGAAAAGACTGAATTGATTGTAATGTTCAATTTATTTATTTTTTTGCTTTATTTTATTGTGCTTTAGGTGAAACTTTACAGTTCAAGTTAATTTCTCTATAAAATTTATACACATATTGTTATGTGACACTAGTTGCAATCCCTATAATGTGACAGCACACTCCCCCTTTCCACCTCACATTCCCGTGTCCAGCCAGCCAGTTCCTGTCCCTTTCTGCCTTCCCATCCTGCTGGACAGGAGCTGCCTATTTAGTCTTGTGTATCTGCTTTAACTAAGACGCATACTCTTGATGGGTATTATTTTATGTTTTATAGTCCAGTCTAACCTTAGTCTGAAGAGTTGACTTCAGAATGGTTTTAGTTCTGGGTTAACAGAGAATCCGGGGGCCGTGTCTTCAAGGGTTCCTCTAGTCTCAGACCATTAAGTCTGGTCTTTTTACGTGAATTTGAATTCTGCACCACATTTTTCTCCTGCTCCGTTAGGGACTCTTTGTTGTGTTCCCTGTCAGGGCGGTCATTGGTGATAGCCAGACACTGTCTAATTCTTCTGGTGTCAGGCTGATGGAGTCTCTGGTTGATGTGGCCCTTTCTGTCTCTTGGGCTAATGTTTTCCTTTTGCCTTTGGTGTTCTTCATTCTCCTTTACTCCAGGTGAGTTGGGACCAATTGACTTATCTTAGATGGCCTCCAGATGCCACTCACCAAAGCGGGATGCAGAACATTTTCTTAATAAACTTCAATATGCCAACTGACCTAGATGTCCCCCGAAACCATGGTCACCTGCTACTCTGTCCCTCGAAGTGTTTGGCTGTGTTCAGGAAACTTTTTAGCTTTTGGTTTAGTCCAGTTGTGCTGACTTCCCCTATATTGTATATTGTCCTTCCCTTCACCTAAGATATTTCTTGTCTACTATCTAGTTAGCAGAAACCCTGGTGGTGTAGTGGTTAAAGCTACAGCTGCTAACCAAAAGGTTGGCAGTTCGAATCCACCACGTGCTCCTTGGAAACTCTATGGGGCAGTTCTGCTCTGTCCTGTAGGGTTGCTATGAGTCAGAATCAGCTCAGCGGCAGTGGGTTTGAGGTTTTTTTTGAGGGTTTTGGTCTAGTTTGTGAATTCCCTTCTCCCTCCCTCCCCACCCTCCTAACCATCAAAAATGTTTTCTTCTGTGTTTAAACCTTTTCTTGAGTTCTTATAATAGTGGCCTCATATAATATTTGCCCTTTTGTGACTGACTAATTTCACTCAGCATAATGCCTTCCAGATTCATCCATGTTGTGAGGTGTTTCACAGATTCATCATTGTTCTTTATCGTTGTGTAGTATTCCGTTGTGTGTATATGCCATAATTTGTTTATCCATTTGTCTGCTGTTGGACACCTAAGTTGTTTCCATCTTTTTGTTGTTGTGAGTAGTGCTGCAATGAACATGAGTCTGCACATATCTGTTCATGTGACAGCTCTTATTTCTCTAGGATATTTTCCAAGGAGTGGGATTGCTGGATTGTATGGTACTTCTATTTCCAGCTTTTTAAGGAAGGGCCAAATCAATTTCCAAAGTGGTTGTACCATTTTACATTCCCACCAGCAGTGTATAAGTGTTCCAATCTCTCCACAACCTGTAATGTTCAATTTAATAGGTATACAATTTAATAAAACCTCAATACTTATTTAAAGAGAACACTGAATTATGTAATTATGTCCTCTCTTCTTTGTATTTCAAAGTACATTCTTAACCTAAATTTTTGTTTTCTGTATCTAGTCTTAGCTTTGTAGAATAGATTCTAATTATGAAAAAAAATACAGTATTTTGACTCCAATATGCTAGTTTCCATTCCTAATTTATTTTCCAGTGTTCTTCCTCTTTTAGAAAACCTACATCTACTTCTCATCACCTCTTTGTTTCATGGCCGCTTTTTATATGGCAGAAGAATGATACATATGGCTCTCTCTAGTCAAATCGGTTGTAATGCCTTCTGATCACCAAGGCAGTAACAGGAGGCCTGAGTGATGATCTTTTTTTGTTTGGTAAAGTGTTATGTCACTGTGGATTTCAATCAACTGATAATTATATTCTCAAAATGAGATACATGTGTATAACTTGCTAAGTTATTTTACCTTATATTTATTTTGTTCTTAAAGAAATTCTTGATGAAGGAGACAGTGACTCAAACACAGACCAAGATGCTGGAAGTAGTGATGAGGAGGAGGAAGAAGAGGATGAAGAGGGAGAAGAAGATGAAGAAGGTAAAGGTGCAGCCGATTCAAATAATACTGTAAAATACTCTAATTCTGATGTTATCCTCTAGAACAATAGTTCTCAGTGGACATTTAGCAATTACTGGAAACATTTTTGGTTGTCACAACCAGAGGGGAATGCTACTGGCATCTCATAGGTAAACGGTAAGGGTGCTGTCAAACATGCTACAAGTCATAAGACTGCCACCCACAACAAACAATTACTCAGCCCAAAATGTCTGTATTACCAAGTTTGAGAAATCCTGCTCTAAATGTATTAAATAGGAAAATTCCTTTTTAACATTAGTGTAATTTTTATTTGGCCTTTTATGCCTTTGATTATATTATAACCCATGAAAAAGGTACATCCATGAAGAATACATGTGATTTATATAACCCTGGTAAAAATGTGACAGTTGAGAATGACTAAATATTTGCTATTCATTATGGCAAAATAAAGTGAGGAGGCCAAAAGCTATATTTATATAGAAGCAGGCTTTGGTTACATTATTTTGCCGAAAAATAAGCTTAGAACTTTACTTTGTAGTACATGTATTAGATATTTGAAAACATTAAAAGTACATTTTTCTCTTTTAGGGCATTTGTATTTTAGTTCTGTCTTAGAGTATAATGACTCTTCTATAACATTTATAAAAATAAGTTTAAGTACTGTCTTTATTTCAAGCATCTTCTGACTATGTGCTATGTACTTTAGAGTTTATTTTATGTGGAAATACTATTCAAAATAAACACTTTTAAATATAAGGAAAGTTTTCGTGCATTATATAAAAGGAAATTTTGACAAATAGGTATATTTGTATAGGACCAGTCCAACCTGTCACGATGATCCAATGTTCTCTCAAAGTGAATTTCTACCCATAAGTTATTCCAGATTATCAAAGGATTGTTTGTAACCCTAGAAATAATATTTTACCAAACATCAGCATGACTGCAGTATTTTATAGCCTCTAAATGAGCAGGTGACAACAAAAAAATTTTTTTTCCGGGTTCGGTTGTGGACTTCTTTGAATAAACAAAACTTATTAAAATATTCTTAAGATTTGACTAAAGATGAAGTAGTTACTTCAGATTCTATAAATAATTAACTTACACAATAGAAAAGATTATTATTAAGCTGAGAGATCGTAAATAATTTTATGGCAAGAAAATTATACAGAAATACATTTTTAACTCTTCACATTAATGTTTTTAGTTTCTTAATTTTGTTATGTTTAATTTCTTCCAGGACAAAAAGTCACTATTCATGACAAAACAGAAATTAATCTGGTCTCCTTTCGTCGCACAATTTATCTTGCTATTCAGTCAAGGTAAGATACAGTAGTCCAGTAGGTTCTCTTTTTTGTCAGGTAGATCAAGGATACGTTTTAGGATCTGATAACAGAAAAACTAAATACCACATGGATTCTCAGGCTACCTAACTCTTTACCCCCATCCCAAACTAAGCTCATCCATAGACTGCTACTCTAGATTATTTGCTGCAAGAACAATTGTTTTTTTAACTTAACTTGGAAAGTTACATAATTAAACATTTTTAGCTCTGTCATTTCTTGTAGTTTATTATAGAGTTAGCATGGTATTTAATTGTATAGTAGAAATATAATGTTATTTTCCCTAATTCTAGTTCTAAGCAGAGAAATAATGTTAAAATAACTATTGGTTACTGATTTGCTATGCAGGTGAAAATGAATATAAATAAAAATAGGAATTAAATTTAAAGGAACGTTTTGAGAAACATTTGAAGTAATGTTAAGTAAGAACTGCTATGATATCATGAAAACAAAACCTATTCCCTTTGAAGCCTGTGAGTTTGGTTTTAAAGAGAAATAAATGAGAATGTTAAATGGTTAATCCATCTGTTGTTTTGTGTGACAGTCAACCTATTGAGTTAGTGGGCACAGTGTTTACATTTTACACTGGAGGAGGAATGTTTTCTCAGTTTTGTTACTAGGTTTTGTGTATTTCCATTTAGTATGATGTAATAGCAATGGTGATTCATAAGTAAGAGTCATCTTGTTTTCATTCTGTCTGAAAATTTTTTGGCTTTAGATTCATCTTCAAGTAGAGGAATGTTAAACAACAAAACATTGGTTGGAAATGTTTTGGTTTTTTCTTAGCTACTTGTTTACCTTACACATGAAAAAGAAAACTATTAATTTTTTTTTTTTTTCATACAAACTTAAAGAGGGAGGTGAGAATTTTTTAAAGTAAAGATAAATATTGTCAAACAGAGTTTGACCTTTAATTTGTTTGTCTTTTTTTATACATCCAGCAGTAATCACTTGTGAATAGCAGATTCAGTGTTTTAATACTGCTGTTAGCATTAACTCTGAAGAGTTCTAGTGAAGTTCTTTGAATCATTTAAAAGAAAACTTTTTTTTTTTTTTGAGGTTTTTTTTTTTGTTTTTTTTTATTGTACTTCAGGTGAAGGCTTACAGAACAAATAGTTTCTCATGGAACAGTAGTACACATGTTGTTTTATGA